TATAATACCGTAGCAAATATAATACTGTAATAGAAAATAAAAATATAAATATGAAATGTACGAAATAGAAAAAAAAACAAGTATGGATGAATGCTAGGTAGCCTACCTATGAAACATGCATTATCTCCTATGAGTCGGCATTATACACAGGCTATATAGACTGCAAGGTAATTTACTACGTGTCATACGTATGAGCTCATCCCTGGTTATTATTTCAACTTACCGAAATAATTAACTATACCTCAATTACTATTGTAACAAATGGTTGAGTATTTATTTTTTAGCAAATTAGATCATTCTATCATCATAAAGGATGGCGCTTTCTCCTACAGTTAAAGTTGGAAACACAGGAAATTTTCGAGGGCATATCAAGGAGGGCCTTTGTCTAAGGCGTGCCTTTTCTCCTCATCCAATTTATGTCAGTCTAAAGTGGACATTAAACCAGAAATTTCATTGAATCTTTACAAATCACATGGTAGGTGCATGACTTTTGGCTAAATGATGTCCCATATAATCTCCTAACGCTAGCGTCACCACCTTAACAATTTCATAATGTCCCATAGGGTAAGATAAAAAAAATGATGTCAAACTTGAATACGAATTGTGGCCGATGATTAGAATCAATTTTCAATAAGAAAAATCAAATATGAAAATTCATGCGATTCTGATGGGGATTTTTCCTTGTTTAACAATGAAATCGCATAAGTCTAGACACTTTATTCCGTAGTATATAAATTGCGAGAGCTGACCAATCAGGTTAATAAAGTACTATATATTTTTTATTAGGACATATTAAGTGATCCACAAGGATTGGATTTTTAGAGTTCAGAATTGACCCGAGACACGTCCCGTGGTCTCAAGACATTTTAGTGTTGGGCGACTAATTGGACATATGCATCAAAGCTAAAGTTAATTAAAAAATATGGACTTAGAGCTAGTAATAATACTGACAAGACAGTCTAATTGGACCAAACATGACGACATGACAAGAACTTGTGTAACTACAAATTTTTTAGAAAACGATAATTTAATAAACCTGGAGAAATAACGATAATAAGAAAATTTGTGATAAGAATTGATGTTAATCACCGTTACGTTGACACTAAGCTTATGTACTAGCATAAAATAAAGTTGGAACCATAAAAACACAAGTTGAATAATTGTTAGGAAATTATTATCAGAAAACGATTTCCTTCGCTAAAGATTAATCAAATAATCCCCTGATCATTATATCAAGATCACGGGAGGATTAATTAATAATACCCTTACCGTATGTGAATAAGCGAAAACTTCGTTTCCGCTAATTTCCAACGGAACAGCATATTATTATTACTAATAAAAGGAACTACTGTAACGAATTAATTTTTTAATTTTACCCTTTTTGGTGTAATTGATTATCTAACTAAATTAGTATCGTAATTGTTAAAGCCCTCGAAGGAGGCAGTGTGCATATTTACATGAGATAGCGTGTACCTCTGATGTCATAAAGTAGGTTCCAGAATGTGTTCTCTTTCATATTAATCAAAATGTATAAAAGTCAAGCATAGACATAATGATATTCCCTTCTTAATTTCACACCATCATTAAGTCGCCCTAATAGAATTACTATGCCCTATAGAAACCTTTTATTATTCACTTCTAGTAGCGGTTGGAGCTACACTACGCATTCATTGTGCGTTGCTCTCCCAAACCAACCGTTACACTACCAACGATGAAAATAATCGATAGTTGAAAATTATGGTGTAAAGTGAAAATAAAATTGTTTGTTAACATTTATGATGGCAACCCATATTGTGGTTAGTAGTCCCTGAGGGTACTCTGGTATTTTTAAAAACTTAGTCGCTGATGTCGAAAGGTGGGTCAAGAATATGACAAATATTATGCTTATTTATGCAATACGGATACCATTTAGCATGCTTTGTACAGCCAATATTTGCCGGTAAAACTACAAATTTTCAAAATTCCCCAGAATTCAAGTTATTCCAAATCCAAGATCTCTCAGCGAGTATAGGCCCAAATGCATCGACAATATTTAATTTTATTCATCAAAATTTTAAATCCAGGTAAGAGTTTTTTCTGTAATAAAACTCGGTTCAGTAATTATAATCGACCTCCAAGTGTATAGCACTAAAATTATACATTGTTTTTAAATTTCGAGTTAAAATATTTCAATAATAACCATTGAAAATATATACTATATATAATTTATAAACTTACAGATTTTTTTCGCATATTTCTGCTGACTCACCCACATACACGATTTAAACTATCAGAACCAAAAGTCTTTAGTTCGAAAATCATTATTTGGGTACGTAAGGCTCATTCTGAGTTATTCATCATGAATAACAAAGTTATTATAAAATACCGTGTTTATTTATTTATTTATTGATACACCCTTATTACAATTTTTTTATATATCCAACGAAAAGAAAAAATTGATATTAATATATTAAATAAAAAAATGGATGCTACATCACTAATACCCGATGTTATTTTTAACAATAATAAACATTAAGTATCTAAGCTGGATTTATATTATTTTGTCTTGTAAGAACTACTCCTTTATAAAGTACTTTTCTCGAATTATCTTTATCTTTAATACTAACCAACGGAAATGAGCAAATTTCCACTTCTAAATCATGAATTTCATAATCATCCCATGTTCCTTCCATAATATTGTTCTGCAAAGGTGTACCAGCTTCAAAAAATTCCGTAAATTCCGGTACAGGTTCTTGAGCAAGTAATCTAAAATATAAGAGAGCAATCTCTTTTGCTATTTTTGCTGCCCTTTCATGTGATTCTGTTTGCTTTTCTTTGCTTTTAAATTGTCGATATTTACCAGCAGTTTTCAAAATTGCGTCTGTCAATTGATCAATAAACGGATGTTTGTCATTACAGAATCCTCGAGTTCCTAATGCTGCAAAAACTTGCTGACGGATATTTATGGGTGTTAAATTTGTTATATCGTCAGTTCCTTTACGAGACTCAGAAAGTTGTTTTACTAAATCACATAATACTTTCATGCTTGTTGCTATTTCAGCCTCAAGAATGTTGTCATCAACTTTAATAGTATAAGCTTCTGGGATTGGAGATAGTCGTGGACTTGTCTCTGGATCTTGTTGATCTACTTCTTGTTGATCTACTTCTTGTTGAGGTTGAGAATGTTCATGTGATAAAGGTGATTGTTGTTGGTTTTCAAACTTCGATTGAAATGAATATTCACTAATAAGGCGAAATAATTCCTCAAGAATAAGGCGTTGTAAAGCAGCGCTTAACACCGGTTTTCCTTTTCCTTCTTTAACCCTCATTACGCATTTGTAATGGAGTAAAAGTTCATTAGCGGCTTCTTCATTAATAGACACATCTTTGCCTTTAACTGAGGTGAATTCATCCAACAAAACCACTAGCATTCATCCATACTTGTTTTTTTTTTTCTATTTCGTACATTTCATATTTATATTTTTATTTTCTATTACAGTATTATATTTGCTACGGTATTATA